CGATGACGCAACAATATGTTTGCATATCACAATCTTTTGAAAAAGTAAAAGTCTACAAAGGCTTGATCTTTTTAATATTTTGTACTCTATTCTATAAAAATGTTAAACCAATGAAAAATTAAAATTTAGAAACATATGTTAGAAATATATTATAGTAATGAATTACTTTACTATAGGGTGATATGCATATATATATATATATATTTTTTTTCAGTCAAAGAATTTAATGTATTTGTAAAGAACTGCAGAAGACATTTTCACTTTGAGAATAAAAAAAAATTACCCTTTAAATAAGAGGTCAAAATCTTGTATAGTTGCATGGTAAAATGCATTTAAGAGTCTCCATTATTTTAATTTGTTTTATAAACTATTTTTGAGTGTTCCTTCAGGGTATATCACATTAACTGGATCATTTTAAAAGAATATCAGGGTTCAGTAATTCCTTAAAAGTTACATTTTGATGCTAGTCTAAAGTGGAATGATAAATTAGTTTGTCTTTTCTATAGGCAATAATTTTTCTATTTCTCATTTTAGCATCATCTTTATCAGGAGTATTTGGAGCAAAGTATAACAGAACAAGACCTCTAAGATAACTATTTTTAAAGCACAGATAATATTTTCTAAGCCCATAAACAAAAAATATAACACATTGAACAGCTTTCTCCAGGAATTTTAAAGACCATTATGAGTTACTGATATTTCATCTCACTTATTAAAATTTATCCAAAGTTGTTTAAGCTGTCATGTAAAACTCTAAAACAGATTTAATATATTCTGATTTTAATGATCCTACACTATTAAACTGAAATATTTAGATACTTTGGTTTTTTTTTCAAGTACTAGAGTAAATAACTTGTAAATGTTTTTAGTGAATGTTTATGTATTTTGATATCTTTCGGGTTTAAAACAATGACTTAGAAATGTTTAGTAGATAAAAGATTTATGGACTGTTAGTTAACTTTAATAGCATTTTCTTTTCTGATACTTAATTTTCTTTTACAAATTTTGACTCTTAATATTTTACATAGCTTAACTTGATACTTTTGTACTAAAAATAGATAAATAGAAGAAGGTGCCAAACAGTATATTTATTTTTAGTATTTATTATATTTGATTTCATTCATACAGTATGGTTTGTTCATTTATTTTCTGGATATAATAAAATTATTTGAACAAACTTAGTTTCCTCAAATTATGCTAAACTTATAATGGATAAATAACATTTATCAGGATGTTGGAAATTTTTCCAATTACAAACTTCTTGTAACTTGAAACAAAAGTAAAATCCCTGATGTGATAAGCTGAGGTACTGTAAGGAATCATGTGGATTGCTCCTACCTTCTGTCTTGTTTTGGAGAAGACATTTTGGACTCTGTGCTGATTTCTTCATCAGGTCTGAGGGGTTAATTAAGAAGGGTTCTGTATATATATAGGCAGTAAGTATAGTAGTTCTGAGAAAAAGCTTTAAAAGAATGGTAACACCTAATTAGCTGTGAGAAGGTTGGTTCAGTCTTGTTTTTCAAATCAGTATATGATTTTCAACTCTGAGAAGGGGATTCAATACTGTTGAGTTCTGATTTTATAGGCCTAAGTATATTTCCTTAATCCAGTTTTATTTTCTTTTTGTATCTAATATGGGTCCAGAAGCTGCTGATTTCAAGTCCTTCACTGCTGTTAATGTTTTATTCTCAGTGCGTCTTAATTAATATCTCAGACCTGATGAAGAACTCAGCACAATCTCTGAAATGTTGTATCCAAAACTAGATAGAAGGCAAAAGCAGGCTGTATGAAACTATTCATCATGTCAACACAATGCCAAAAACTTTCTATAAAAGAAACTGAACTGTTACTACTGTAGGTGTTTACAGTGAAGCTACCATACCTATTCACTATAGTACATCACTTAAAATAAACTTACAAGCATCGCATCATTTCTAAGTTAAATCCTTTTCTGGTTTATTTTGCAGCATTTTAGTAAAAGTATTGACAAATTATAAAGAATAAGCAGACTGGAAATGAGAAATACAGAAATGTTCTATGAGGCAAGAGAGACAGTTGTTCCCTAGAATTTAGATTGCTACCACCCAGACGTTTCAGGATATAATATAGTCACATATAAGATGATCAAAGTTTTCTTCATAAACGAATAAGAGTAGTAAAGTAAAAAGGGTGTTCTATTAGGAGAACTAAAAAGTTAAACTATAGTTTTATACAAAGAAATGAAAAACACTAGAAAATATATATTTATATTTTAAGAAAATATAAAAGAATCCTGCTCAGTAGCTTATTCACTGAACTCTTTAAGTTATATATGTGTAGTATCTTGAGTGGCCAACTGTTGATAATGTAGTATGTAAACTCATAAATACCTAGTTCACTAAGAATTTAAAAAACAATTTTCACACACATTTTGTGTAGTTTTAAAAATAGAACATTGGTCAAAGAATGTGGCTAAGTTTCTTTTGCTCTACTTAACTGTTATTCTGGATCATTCCCCTTTGATGTCATGTGCACTTTCTCGTGGAAAAAAAGAGTGATGTTAACTAGAATACACAATGTAAAGGTGGAAGGGATATTTTCCCTGCATTTTCCTTCTAAAATGACCATCAGTGATATGGGTAGTGCATATGAATTGACAAGACTGGCATTGCAGAATCTTGTCACAGTGCCATGCTCTTTTAGTGTGGGATGTCATCTTCTTACCAAGCTTGGAAGAGTAACTAACGGACCCAGAGCTAGCATGGATGCTCATTGATGTATAGTAAGTTGAAGCTCAGGTTGAGGGGGGGAAGCATGAATTCACATAATCTGAGCAATTACAAGTGCAGGAAGGTGTGTTCTACCATCACAGTTAGCCACCATACCATGGTTCTCAGCCTGTACTGCAACTGGTGGTCCCCATAGCTTTAAGGTAAGGGGTGCACTAGACTTTGCATAACCAAGAAATTGGAGAGCACCAAGATGATACCCATTCTTGTGCTAACATTCAATGGTAAATCTTCTGGCTGCATTCATGTCAAGGTGTTCAGTGCTGCTGTCAAAATTATACAGTTTTTACCACCCAGAAAAAAGTTGACCAAAACAGGGTAAACTTCATCCCTGGTTCACTGCTGGAGATAGAATGAAACTATCAGTATATACTCGTGGCCATCAGTGTCTACACAAGGGTCAAGGCTTATTCATTGGTCAACACACTGATACAGTCTTTAGCTGATCCACTGGCAGAGCACAATTTAGATCACTGAGGAAGCACCAGATCTAGATGTGAGATAACTTCTGTTGTTGGCCAAACCGCTGCTGATTGCCTCCCGATTGATATGGCTTGGACTGATTGATTTCAGTAGAGCTAGAGCAGTCATTAATTATATGATCACTGATTAGAAGTGACAGCTCTTGCTTTCCAGGATATTAAATTGTATTCCACTGTACAATGTATGCACTACATTGTGTGATTGATCACTTGAATATATCAAGAGCTAATGCTTTATTGTAGGATCACTGACTGAAAGGAAGTAGCTTTCCTTGCTTTCAAGCTGTCATGTGGTATTGTCTGGCACAATCTATGAACTGCATTTTATGGTACCACTCGATTATCACAAGTTATGATGGCTGTAGCAAATAGGTGAAGTACCTAGTACATCAACAGTTTCCACAACTGAAGATTTGAAAACTCAGCTTAAAGTTTGCTGAAGATCTTGATTTCTGAGATATTGAGCAGATTTTATTGAGAGAGATCTTCCAGATGTTAATTGATAGGTGTTTAATCATCATAAACTAGGACAGTTATTTGATTTTGAGATTGATGGGTTGTAAAGAGTTTAGTAATCCTTGCTTTCTGAGCTATCAAATATAATTTTACAATAACATATTCATAGGATATCAGGTGATAACTGGTCAGTTACCACAAACTAAAGTGGTCATTTGGTTGAAAACCAATGACTGAAAGGATGTTGGAACCCATGCTTTACTAGCTACTGATTACTTTTTGAGGCTGACGTTTTAAAAGGATCATTCACTTTGATCTAGTCGAATCGTAGATGTTCTATGGAGCATACCACACTATCATATCTAGATTATATCCAGTACACTTGATTGTATATAACTTTTCCATGTATAGTAAGGGAGTTATGTATCCTCTACTTATATCTTATATATATATATATACACCTGGAAAAAAGTTAAGCACCCCAGTGTTTTTTCAAGTGATTCAGATTCGACG